CCACCACAGCACGACAGACAGACGAGTGGTTCTTAGAGATGCGATATTTCCAATACATAAAATTTAGTTTTGAAAATACTCCGACCTTATGTTGTACAAATAGGCCGGTCTGTCAAGCTCATTTGAAAAGAAACCAAGTTGATTGATTCAGCACTGAGACTTGTCCTGGTGTATAAGGAGACCAGCCGCTTTGCTGGAGAAGTAACCACAGTAGTGATGCTGAAGACCCTTTGAAGAGTTGTAGCTCAGTGTTAGCAGATGGAAGCATCTAGGGAGTCAAGACTGAGTCTTGTCCTTGAATGACAATTAGGTCCTGCTGTGTGTCCCCAAAGAGTCCCTGGGTGACACAAGTAATTAAGTGCTCGGCTAGTTGGGGGCCCCCACTTCTCCTCATTCTCCACCCCTAAGCGACCGTGAATCTATGTTCTTTGTGTATGGATTCACCCACTGTGGACTTTCCCTATAAATTCCATCATAGAATGTGCAGTCTGTCACTTAGCATTGGTTGGTTGAAGTGCCGTCGAGTTGGTCCTGACTCACAGCGATCCTGTATCTGGTTTCTGAGGAGCAGCGGGTGAGCGGCTGGTTTTCTGCTTCACAGCCCAGTGCTGATCCGGCAACACCATTGTATTTTTAAGTTGATCCATGTCGTGACTGAACAATACATTGTAGAGCTTTGTTGTTATTGTAAAGTGTCGTTGAGTCTGTTCCGACCCATAGTGACCCTGTATAGGGTTTCCAAGAGCGGCTGGTGAGCTTGAACCTCTGACCTTGTGGATCAAACTGACTTTACTGTCCAGCACATTAACCCACAGCGCCACGCCAGGATTCCATTGTATAGATGTGGCACCCTTTATCTGTCGTTCTGATGGGCATTCGGACTTCCATCATCTGGGAGTTAGGGCTGGAGCTCCTGTGAACATTCATGTACAGGTTTGTCTGTGGATGTGGTTTTCATTCCTGCTGAGTTGATCCTGAAGGGTGAAATTGCTGGGTCGTAGGACATTCCTTCAGCGGCAAGAGAATGAAATCCAGTTTCTCCACATCCTCATTGAGTGTTTCCCTGGCCATCTCAGTGGGTGTGAACACTAGTTTTGATTGGCATTTCTCTGGTTGCTGATGGAAGCCCTTGTGCTGTGGGTGAGGCTTTGGGCTGCTAACCACCAGGTCAGTGGTTTAAACCCACCAGTGGCTCTGAGCGAGAAAGATTAAGCTGTCTGCTTCCACTAAGGAGCAATTCAGCTGTGTCCTGTGGGGGTTGCTGTGAGTTGGAACTGATTCAGTGCAGTGGATGGTTTTGGGGTTTTGGCGGCTAATTATGTGCTCTTTGGTCATATCTACATTTTCTTTGCCTATTTAGCTTATTGTTGATTTTTAAGAATTCTTTGTGTATCCTAGGAGGCTTAGTGACGTTGCAGGGTAAGCCCTGGACTGCTGACCACAAGGTTGATGGTTTGAGTCCACCAGCTGCCTTATGGGGAAAGCTGAGGCTGTCTGCGCCTTTTGAGATTTACAGCCAACACGACACAGGACTGCTGTGAGTCAGAGCCTACATGCCAACAGTGGGCCTGCTGTTACCGTGTTCTGGATGGAAGTCCCTTTACCAAACATATGATTTTGAAATATTTTCTTCCCTTGGGTCAGCTGTCTTTTCACTTTCTTGGATGTCATCATTTGCAGCACAAAAGTTTTAAGTTTTGATCAATTCTAGTTTTTTTCTTTCATTGATCATGGGCTTGATGCCTCATTTAACAAACGATCTTGTGCCCGTCCAAGGTTGTGCAGAAACCTTATGTTATCTTCCAGAACTTTTCTAGCTTGAGTTCTGTGCCTAGGTCGTTGATTCAGACTGCGTTCATGTTCATGTCTGATGTGAGGTAGAATCTGCCTTCATTGTCTTTGCTCCTGTGCTCCCAGTACCATTTCTGAAAACTCTTAATTTCTGTTAATTTCTTGTCAATTGGATATCTGCATCAAAGAAGTTCCTTTCATCTGCAGTCTGCTAAAAGCTAGAGGTGGGATTGGGCGGGAACAAGTAACAGTGTCCTGACACCTTCGACCAAGGCCCATTGTTCGCCTCTGGGTTTGTGTCTCTTTCTTAGCTGTTACCCTAGAGTACCCAGCCGACAGGAGACACAGTGCTAACTTTGGTGGCTGGAGGATGGGCTGGGGGTCTGAAGCCCAAGGGAAGAATTCAGAGCTGAGACCACCACACTGTGAGCACCTCTTAGATCTCTATAGCTAAAACCTGCCTTTGTTCCTGGAGCTTTGATGCTGGGCTCTGGTAGCCTACAGAAAATGTTGTTTTCATTGTCCTTTTGAGTTGGAAGTGACCTGTTTTGTGAATTTCTTGGGTACACATGAATTGCGGAACCTGCTTTGTATTTCAATCGTAGGAGACAGACTGAGAATTTAAATGCTTAAAATAGCTTTCAGAATTACTAGAAAATATCATTTAAAGTGGGTAGAAGCCAAAGTAAGGACTAACATCTATTTCTGTGCTTAGTTTCAGTTACTACCCAGCAGAGAATCTGATAGAATATAAATGGCCCCCTGACGAGACGGGAGATTACTACATGCTGCAAGAACAAGTCAGCGAGTACTTGGGCGTGACCTCCTTCAAACGGAAATACCCAGGTACTAAAGTCCGAGTTTATGGAGCATGTTGCATATAGAACCAGGAAGAGTTGGAAGTCTACGTGACTGCCTTCCTTTTCCAGGTCTTGCTGCTTTTTCTCCTTTGACGGGTGCGGTCTCCCCGTTTTCCTGTTGCTCTCTCTTTAGTGGGAAGTATTTGAGTTTTCCTCTTCTGCTGGGTTTCCACCTTACACAGGTTCCAGCTTTGGCAGGGTTTGTTGTCTCTCAGTTGGGAGTCATGCTGTCTCATGATAACTGCAGTGTGGGTGACTGACAGTGTGTTGGAGATTCTTGCAACGTCTGACTTTGACTTAACCACATTCAGCTAACGTCTCTCTCCACTCTCCGTGTGAGAAACTCATTTTGTAGCCATACTTAGAAGCATTTAAGGCACCTGCATCTTAGGAGTGGCGTTGGCTGCATCAGCTGTATCTGAGTTTGAGAAAGGCCAGCACCTGATTAAACACTTTCACAGAATTATTGATGTCTGAGGGCGAGTCAGAAATTACTGCTGTAAAATCATAGAAGACCATGAAATGTGAAACTGTGGTTTCTCGACACATTCTCTAAGTCTATGCATTTCTAATGCTTTCCTAAGGAATTCTGCACATTTGGACTTGAAACCATGTCAAAAATGACAGTTTTGGCATTCTTGAGGGACTCAAATCGTGTTTCTTCTAAATGTTCTTTGCGTTTTGGGAACAGAAAGAGTCTGCAGGAAGACGGTTGTAAGGTAACGGGGTAAAAGTTTACCTTGCTACCCTTAAAGAATGATCAGAAACTTTGTTGTGATGGGAAATTACCCTCCTGCAACTTTCCTGACCTTGTTCGTACCAATCGAGTTTTCAGTTTCCTGAAAAGTTCTTTCTAATAAGCCTGTCGTCCTGTGCGCTTTGAGAAAATCTTTCGGGATGACTCCTTCAGAATCCCAGAACGGTAGTCCTAACCTTCAGAGCTGACATCTCTGTGTTGAATTGAACTGGTCCCTGGAAAGCCAGTGGTTTGATTGTACCTTTTTGGGGGAGGTAACCGAATATGTATTCCTGAGAGAATTGGTCAGCAGCCGACCCGTCCACTGATCGCGGAGACAAGCTTCACCACGTTCTGTCTGAAATAAACCTGTACACGTTTGAGCTAGGGTACAAGAAGCAATACTTTTTGACTTGCCCTCATGTACCTTCTGTCATTTCCTGACTTCAGAATATTTTTCTTTAGTTGTTTTAATAGTGCTTAGAATATAGAAAACGTAGTACTTTGGAAAATCCATGAATATATTTTTTAAAAATGATTTTACCCTAAACGTAAAGAAAACTTTCCAGTTGCATAATGTCTCACTCTTTTTTAATAGCCTTTTGTCTTTTCCTTGGAGATTTAGAGCGACGAGATTTGTCGCACAAGGAGAAACTCTACCTCAGGGAATTAAACGTCATTACAGAGACTCAGTGCACGTTGGGTAAGTGCAGCCTGCAGGATGAGGCCCTCAGGCCTCTGAGACGGGGGTGGGTGGTGAGTCTGTGTCTCTTCTGCTGAATTGTCTTTCAAAGTTACCATAGTGGATTGTCCAACGATGAAATTGTAGGAGAATGAAGCACGCGTTTGCTCCGTCTTGAGTTGTGGGTCATCTCCTTTTGCCCTGGGATAAGCATTTTCCTACAGTTGGTGGACTCTGCCCCTGAATGCACATGTGAGCCTGTGTGGTGTTTGTAAATCAACTGTATGATGTGTGTGTGCACTGAAGCTCTTTGGTGTATGGAACTGGGAAACTAGGAATTACCATGCACTAAAAGTGTGCTTTATCAATTGTTCAATATCTTCTACTGTGGGCCAGACCTCAGTGTGCCTTGTCATCTGTTTAGCAGTTGTTTTTAAGTAAGGGGATGTATCTTTATAATACGAGTATGATTGAAAATACAGACACTCGGCTGAAAACTGGATTTCCTGGTCATTGCAACTTTGGTCATGTTATCTCTTTTGAACGGTTTGACTTTATGAATATTAGCTTTTATTGCTTTCAAAGGTGTTAAAATATTTTGCTCCAATCTTGGAAAGCCTTTGAAATGCCGAGTAGTTTGAAGAAGCGGCCCATTTTGACAAGGCACATTGTCATGTGTGCTCTGGTGGCGTGTAGGTCTGACTGCCTTGCGCAGTGACGAGGTCATGGACTTGATGATCAAAGAGTACCCCGCCAAGCACGCCGAGTACTCTGTCATTCTGCAGGAGAAGGAACGTCAGCGCATCACGGACCACTACAAGGAGTACTCGGTAGGCAGCCCGGGCTCCACTGAGGCGTGCTGGGGGGGTGCGGTGGCGGCCGTGGTTAGGACCGGACTGCAGCGGCACGTGTTTGTTTCAGCAAATGCAGCAGCAGAACACGCAGAAGGTCGAAGCCAGCAGAGTCCCTGAGTACATTAAGAAAGCCGCCAAGAAGGCCGCAGCGTTTAACAGCAACCTGAACCGGGAGCGCATGGAGGAGAGGAGAGCCTACTTCGACCTGCAGACACACGTAGGACACCTATGGCTCCCGTGGTCCCTCCCCCTGGGACGGAGCTCGACATTTCCTAGCAAGGCCCAGCCCTTCTTGTCAGCTGGTGCTGCTCTGCCAGGTCTCTATGTGGCTGAAGCTCATCCCACCTCACCTCAGGGACCCCCATGTGTTGACTTGAAGACACCTTAGACAGGTGGTCTGGGTCCTGGGGTCTGCTGAGTGTGAGCAGATGAGCTCACCTTTCCTGAGCAGCGCTGGCCCTAGAGGTGGCTGCCCCCCGTGTCTGAGGAGTGCGGCTCCTTTGGTGGGCTGCAGTAGAGAGCGGGGACACTTGTTTTCGTCGTATAGAACACCTTTGTGGCACTGATCTTCCTGTTCACACAGGTAATCCAGGTGCCCCAAGGGAAATACAGGGTGCTCTCGACAGAGCGGACCAAGGTTAGTTCCTACCCAGTGGCCCTCATCCCCGGACAGTTCCAGGAGTATTACAAAAGGTATTCGGCCATTTCGTTGACTTTCCCATCGGCTCTCGGGGTGGGATTTCTGTGCTTGGAAAAGGCTTCAGGGCATGCTGTAGAGTTTGCCGGTGCCCTGCGTCTGTCCTCTGACTCGCAGAAGGACCTGCAGACATGCCTGAGTGTCCAGTCTCTGCTACCCAGGTTTCTCCCAGCCAGTATCCACTTGTTCCCATTGGCACACAGGGTGACCCCGGCAGCCTCTGCTGTCACTTGTGTGGGGCAGTGACTTGAGAACCTGGGTCCCAGCTTGTCTCCCAGCTTCCTGCTTTCTCTGCTTCCGGAGAGACTGTGGTTACAGTGCAGTGTCTAAACCCTGGCCTTAGTGTCCACAGTCAAACTGGAGCTGAGGGTCTACTCCCCTGTGTGCCCAGGGCAGTGCCATGGTCAGGGAGCACTGAGAGCCTGAAGGAGGCTCAGTCAGGATACTATCTGTTGGTCTGTCCCATCAGAGAGAAAGGGGAGTTCTCTGACTGAGGTGGTACCTGCCACCTGGGTGGGGCACCGAGCTCTGGGGTAGGTCTGCGTCACCAGCCTCACCCCGGGGAGGGGTGGTGGGGGTCAAGGGAAGTGGCACTGTCTTTTGAGAATAGGAATCAAATGCGTGCTTGACATTATCAGGCTAGGAAAGAGATGTTCAGGCTCATTGTTTATTAACGCGTTCCCCCTTGAACATCAAATTGAATAGACATTCTGAAAGGCACCTGGGGGGGAAGTGACGATGGGGACAGGTGCCCTGGGCCCTGAAGACGACTCTCACACGGCAGGTATTCCCCTGATGAGCTACGGTACTTGCCGTTGAACACGGCGCTGTATGAGCCCCCCCTGGACCCCGAGCTCCCTGCTCTGGACAGTGATGGTGACTCGGACGATGCCGAGGATGGACGCGGTGACGAGAAACGCAAGAGTAAAGGCGCTTCGGTGAGAGCACTGACCTCTCCCTTAGGGTCTTGGCCGACCATTTCCTGCAGCACTGAGCTCTGTCACCGCCGCCTCTGGAAAAAGGGTCCGAGCTCCACAGCCGTGGAGTTGGTTCTGAGGACAGAGCAGAGCTGCCCTGCAGGCTTCCCAAGGTGGCTCAGGGTTCTAGCACCACCTGCCTCATCTTTCTCCCGTGCACTGGCCGGAGGTCCGAACCACCAGCCTTTCAGTTAGCTGCCAACTTCTTTAGTCACAAAACCACCAGGCTACTGCATGTCACTTCTAGAGAGTTCTCAGATGGCACAGTGAGTTAAGCATTGGGTTGCTGTCCTCAAAGTCAGCAGTTCAAACCTGCCCGTTGTTCTGAGGGAGAAAGATGTGGCCGTTTGCTCTTGTAAAGACCGACAGTCTCAGAAACTCGATGTAGAAGTTCTCCTCGGTCTCTGGGTTTTCATGCAGACCGCTCTTTATTGTGTGCATCTATGCTGTGGGTTAATGTGCTGGACCGCAGGGTCGGCAGTTCAAGCTCACCAGCTGCTCCTCAGAAACCCTGTGCAGGGGCTCTGTGAGAACTGACACAGTGGCACTTAACAATAACAGGGTGAGTCTGATGTTGAAAATCGCCACCTTGCTGCTGTCGTTCATGCACATTTGCAGGGGTCCTGAACTGGAGGGCTTCCCCAGTGCGCCCCACAGCTCAGTGTCCATCAGAACCTGAGCGTTCCATCAGTCTCCCCAGAGCTGCATGCATCAGAACCTGAGTGCTTCCTGCCGCCGTCCATCGGAACCTGAGTGCTCCCCACAGCTGTCCCTCAGAACCTGAGTGCTCCCCATAGCTGAGTGTTCCTCAGATCCTGTGTGCTCCCCACAGCTGAGTGTCCCTCAGAACCTGAGTGCTCCCTACAGCTGAGAGTCCCTCAGAACCTGAGTGCTCCCCACATCTGAGTGTTCCTCAGATCCTGAGTGCTCCCCGCATCTGTCCCTCAGAACCCAAGTGCTCCCCACAGCTGAGTGTCCTTCAGAACCTGAGTGCTCCCCACAGCTGAGAGACCCTCAGAACACGAGTGCTTCCCACAGCTGTCCCTCAGAGCCTGAGTGCTCCCCACAGCTGAGAGACCCTCAGAACCTGAGCTGCTGAGAACCAGGCTCTCGTGGGGCTGGGGGACGGGGGAGCCTGCTGACTGTAGAGAGGCCCTGTGTGTATGTTGGGGGATTTTTTCACTTTAAATTGTCGACACTCTCGGTGCCAATTTGAGTCCTCCCTTTGTTTGTGCTCCGTCTCAGTGAAGGTGCTGTCCTCTTTCGTTTCCAGGACAGCTCTTCTGGGGACTTGTCTGACGGTGAGATCTCGCCTCACGGCCCCGAGGACTCCCCACAGGGAAGACCCAAGTCCAAAGACAAAGCTGCCACACCTCGGAAAGATGTTCCCAAACGTACTGTACTGTCCAAATCAGTCCCCGGGTACAAGGTAGAAGACAAAAGCCCCTGACGGGCCTCCTTCCTGACAGCCTCTCTCCTTGAGGTCTTTCCCTCTGTGTTCTGTGCCGGGGCTCCTGCTCGGGGATGCACTGCTCGGTGGGTCGGCTGGCCGCTGCTCTCGCTTCTCTCCCGGTGGCCTCTCTGCCACTCCTGGCTGTGGTATGGCCTCTCTTTCCTGTATACGAGAGCCTTTTGTTCCCTCTATAATCAGGAAAGTAGGAGTTGTTCAGAATTGCTTCCCAGGCAGAACTTGAGCTCTTCCATCCTTAGAGTAAAGATCGTAAGTATCTGGCATTTTCCATACTCCTTAGTTTCACTGAACACACTGTGCTGTGGTGTGTGCGTGCAGCCCGGCCTCCGTTAGACACAGTCGCGTTCCTGTAGTGCCTCTCTCAGGGCTGGATTTCATCTAAGGATTCTTTGTTCCATCCGCCAAAGGCCTAGAAATAGTGAAGCTGACCTGTTACACTGTGTTGGTTTGTGGCATCAACTTGGCAGACAGTTGATGTATTTCTGTGACAAGGATTAAAACATTATTTGGTGAGGTCGTTTGGTTTTGGATGTATTTGTTAACTTTTTGATCGGATTGTCTCCAGAGTTGAGGAGGAGGTTGTAACGGTTAGTTTTGCAGTTTCTTCCGTCGGCTTGTGTTGTGCCCTTCTAAGGGGGGGGTAAGAAGTTGGGCTTAGCTTCCAGTTTCTGTGTTGGCTGGTAACAGTGGGCGGGAGCATCAGTCTGTGCTCTCCTGGTGATGGTGAAGGTACAGTGAAGCAGAGTTGGACACGGTGGGCAGAAGGACGTGCAGGAGAAGTAACTCAGCCACTTCCTGCACGCCAGGTCTGGGCTGGTGGTAAGTGTGCTGCCACGGGACAGGTGAGCCGGCTAGCTCCCTCAGCCCGGCCAGGCCTTCGGCCTGCAGCTAGCTCATTGGTCTTTCTTTTCATGAGGTAAGGACGGTGACTGGACACATGAGTGTGTTCGTATCTTAGTCGAAAATGTCTTCGTAAGCAACTTGAAGATACAAGTTTTCATAGCCTGTTGCAGGTTGTCAACTTGCTTCACCAAGGTTGGCTCCCATGGCGTCAGTTGGCTGCAGATGGGCAATGTTTGTACTCGGGCTTATATATATGGCTTCTCGGATTTTTTTCCCAACTACAGATTTAAATGTATGCTTAGCAACTGAAAGCAAATGAACTCCAAAGATTACATTTAGAAAGTTAGCTTGCACTCCTGGTCGGAGAGGCAACTCGAAGATGACCATTCCGTTCATTCTTTTCAAAGTCAAGTAGCTCTTCCCCACAGTAAGCCTGGATCAATTATGGATGAAAAGACCTCAGTGAGAATGCAGAAATCGAGGTCTCCGTCCCGGCTGACCCTGAGCAGCTACCCAACACTGTGACTGACTTCATAGCAAGAAAACATAGATTCACCTACAGGCAGGGGGGGGAGCCCCTCATCTGCCAACATTTATAACCTACTTTGTGGGTCGTATAAAGTTCTCAACTTAAAAGTCAGTTTGCTATATTTGGTCAAACAGTTAACTTACCCATAGTCTTGATGTGGCACTGTGGGCTAATGGGCTAGACTGCAAACCACCACAAGGTTGGTTCAAGCTCACCAGGTGCTCCTTGGAAACCCTATACAGGGTCGCTATGGGTTGGAACCAATTTGACGGCCCTTAACAACAACAAACTTGGTTTGCCTTGGCAAGGCCATACCAAATGATACGGTGGGCCTTACTTATATGACCCGTGGGCTGGATCTTCTTCACCTCTGACATAAAGGAATAGCATTCAGAGATTCTGGGGAACATATTTAGCACCTAAAAATGTTTCAGGTATTTCAAATATGGAAAATTAGTATCTAGATTTAATAAATTAATGTGAATCTGTTTATTAAAAGTGAATCTCTCTTTGAAAAGTATTCATAAGCCAAGATGTGCCTAAATATTAGGGTACTTTAAGCTGAAGCTTTCATTTTACTTATACACACACACACATACACACATCCAAACATCCAGGAGAAAGACTGAAAACATTCATGGAAAAAAGAAATTACGAGAGAAAAGAGTGTCCTCCCCCAAGTGTTTTAGAGCACCCTTGGTGAGTGCTCTCTTAGGTGGGTGGTAAGAAAAGTAATACTTGGTCTGATGCCTTGCTGCCAGGAGTCACCAGTGCTGGCCCTCATCGGTAGGCTAGTGTTATTTCGGGTACAGCAACCTGCAGTTACTGCTCTAGCAGGAAGTGTGGGGGGAAGTAACCGTCTGCAGTGCTGACAACTGTTAGGATGAATGTTTTCTTTCTCTCCTCAGTAGTGCAGGAAGTAAGACCGACTGTCTCAGTTGGCCACACAGGGATCGATTACTCCTCAGGGGAGTTGTGTACACTCTCCGTCTGTCCCTCTGTTCCCGAGAGACCGTGGTGTTAGAGCCTGGTCAGCAGGATGGCTGGGTGGACAGCTTCTGCCTGTAGTGAGTCCCAAGAGCCAGTACTTGCCTTCATGTGCCCGTGTCGCCATCGTGTTATCACAATGAAGACTGTTGGTGCGAGGGATTTTAAATTGGTGTGAGAACACGTGATCTCTTCAGTGTAGAAGTACCCCTGGAGTTTTCTCGGTGGCCCTGTACTATAGCTGTTTAATGTATAGGTGAATGATCGTAGAACTTGAATCACTCTAGAATGTGAATGACTAGCCTTGTTTTTGTTCTTTTGTAAAGGATTCCTGTGAGGAGTTCTTTCCGTAGAATTTCAGTTGTCTGGCTACTTGCCTGATCCCAGTAGAAGATGTTAGCGTACTTGTTCTGCTGGTTTCTGACTTCAACTACAAGCATTAACTAAGTGCATTGTCTACACGGAGCATGAATGCCACAAGGGAAAGGCTGTGCTTGTTTTGGGGGTGGAGAGGTGGCTTTCTGCTCTGTGCTTTGGCAGTTACAGATTTGATGATAACGGAACAGAATTCAGATGACGGAAGTGCACTTCCTAGTTATATTTTACTTAGGTCTCTGAAAAAATGAGACTTGTGTGTAGATTACAGAAGAAACCATGAAGGGTTAGCACACGGCGAGACGTAGAGGTGTGAGCACGTGCCACATCCTTTGTTGGGGGGAGCAGGGTCTAAAGATGCACACGTTAGGAGACGTAGAATAGTTTACAGTAAAGTTCATATGTATGCTTTAACTTCCATGATATTTATTTTGTGGAGACATTTGTGATTGTTTAGAGCCATTGTTTTTATTACTATATTCATGTATAAGGTTGACTTTTTTAAAAAAAATAAATAAGCCAAAAATTATTTTTGAATGCCTCTGTCATCTTTTGCAAAGAAAGAGAATGTACAGAAATACAGCTGGAAGAAGGAAGAACAAATTGTTTGACCTCAAGGCTATGGATAGACGTGGTAGTGAGTCATTTCTGAGCTGACATCTGAGGGAGAACAGTGTGAGGCTCCTCTTTGGCTCTGTGACTTAGGAAAGGGAACACCAGATGCATCTGGCTGGGGTGGGGTCAAACAAGAAAGCAGTTTGAGAGAACACACTGTTCTTTGGTCCATATACCTGCTCCCCTCACCTCCACTCCATTCTTGGCTCATACTTGTTCCCCCTCCTCTCCCAAGTTGTGCAAGTGGTCAGAGTGCAGGTGAGAGCCAGCTGAAAGTCCTGTTTACTGGCCCCGCTCCCTAGGTGTCCCTGAGGATCCATACCTGACTGGGCTGGGCTTTGTTTTCCATCTCAAAGAGGAGCAGGAGCAAGGCTGTCTGTATTTTTTTTACTGCATTTTTTGGGGGGTGGGGTGGGGTCTGAAAACTGATTTTCTCCTTTTCTCATGTTTTTACATCTCCGAGCTCTTCCATTGGCTTTGTCAAGAGGAAACTTACTGACAGAGTTCTGTAAACCTTTGTGGCCCTCATGTAGGAAACACCTTCAATGATAAATGCTGCAGCATTGACTTTGTAACAGATTGTACAGGTCTCATTTCACAGCCTTGGGAGAGAACAGGTCTTAAACAAAATCGGTGTGTAAGCTGCTTAGGCCTGAAGTTTTTCTCTTGTAATAAGACTAACTTTCACGTAGCGGTCATTTGGGACTTGCGTTTTGTCCCAGTTAGTAGTGAAATTTGCCCTGTATTTGGCCTTTCCTTCTAGCTCATTGCACAGAGCTTACTGTGCACGTGGACCGGAAGAATGTGCCATGTTGAATCTAACATGAGATCATGCCATGGACTTAACTGTTTGAATTGAAATTTAAGGTTTTGGTCAGGAGGCTGCCTTGTGCCCTGAGCACATTCAGGTTGAGTTTGTCATTCAGAAAGGTCCTCACGAACAGGTTCCCCAAGAGTAAATAAAACTAAGGCCATACAGTAGCAGTTCCTTTTGAACCCATAGTAAGTTCTTCTGGCGTGAATTTATAGCCCTCTTCTGCCTTCCAGCCAAAGGTCATTCCAAATGCTCTATGTGGAATTTGTCTGAAGGGTAAGGAGTCCAACAAGAAAGGAAAGGCTGAATCTCTTATACACTGCTCCCAGTGTGCCAACAGTGGTGAGTACCGACGTGTCTTCTCAAGTCTTTAACTCCCTCTTTATGGCTTCAAAAACTAGGACTTGTTGTCAGCTAGACCTCAAGCCGAGTCCTCAAGTACTCAGGGCAGGCCACGTGGAAGCTGTAGACAGCCAGTGCGTTTTCCATTGACCAGCCAACGTTATCCTTGTGAAGTCTTAATCTAGTACTTTATTGTCGTCTAAGTGAAAATCCTTGTGTGGAATGCAACTAACACTAGTTTTGATATAGGCCATCCTTCCTGCCTGGATATGACCACGGAGCTTGTTGCTATGATTAAGACCTACCCATGGCAGTGTATGGAGTGTAAAACCTGCATCGTATGTGGACAGCCCCACCATGAGGAAGAGATGATGTTCTGTGACATGTGTGACAGAGGCTACCATACGTTCTGTGTGGGGCTTGGTGCTATCCCGTCAGGTAAAGACTGATCAATGAAAGAACGGGATTTGAGCGGTGGGACTCTGCCAGCATTTGCTCTGAAGTCTAAACAGCTTCATGATATGACATGACATGACATGACGTGAAGGGCCTAGAGCTGTGATTACGTGGATTGTGCGTCGGTTGTTTACCCCCGGTGCCAGAGCTGAGTCCACGAGTTCTACACTTAGGAGTGTAGCTCAGCACATAGCACGACAGTGTCCTGTATTTCTACAACAGCTAAAGCACCAAAACATCAGTTCCAAAGCCTTGATTTTATTTTTATACATCATGTACTTAAAGACGTTAACAAAGTGACTAGTGGGCCTTTATACACCTCAAGCCACAGGATAGTACCAGTTCCTTTAAAATGCAGAGAATCCAGGGGAAAAAAGTCACAGTACTTAGACTAAAAATGTACACAAACACTTGTGTAATTTTAGAACGTATTTGCATAGTTAACACTGGATTTGTTAAGTGCTGTCGAGTCGACCCTGTATTGGGTGAGCTTAAACCGTCGACCTTGCAGTTCTGGTGCATTAACCCACGGCGGCGCCGCCCCAGGCCTCCTAACACTGGTTAGTACTCTAAAATGCAAGCCTGACTCTTCAGTTTCTGGGAGTTATTAAGAAGCTAAACCTCACAGAAGTTCTGTGGGAGGTCAGATCAGGTGTGAAGTACAGTCTCTCAGCACTGTGCCAGGAAATAGTTGGTGCTTTCAAGTGCTGTGTCTGCGATGGCGCGCTGGGGGTTGGGTGCTGTACAACACACCAGCTGCAAGTGAGCAGCGAAGAGAAATAGCAGAAAGGGAGCCAAACTCAAGAGATGTTTCATTTTAGGATCTGTTACTGAACTAAAGAGAAGGTACCCTTCCAAGGACTCTTGTAAGCCACATCTGACACATAAGTTGTGTACCTGATTTCTTTTTTGTTGTTTTCATTCTTTATAAATCCGATCTTTGTCTTTGGAAACATTACATTTAATGAGATCAACAAATTGTGTGCTACATGACATGTAGTAAATAATACTACCGATAAGTTGTGGACCAGAGTCCCCAAAAAACAAAACTCATCAGTCAGTCTTAAGTGCAATTTGCGGTTATTTGAATATGCCAGTATATCATGGGTTACCTGTCATTATTTTTCAAGGTTCACACCATTCTGTAGCACACTGCTCACCCCAACTACTGCATGACATTGGTTAAGGGATATTCACGGTTTTCCCCTTAATTTGAGAAACTTCATAGGGTCCATCCCACCTTAAATCCATAGGGAGATAGTAGTGATAGCTATGGACTGAATGAGAGAATGCATGGAGCCACAATGGCGCCTTGTAAAATTGCCTTCGTTTTTCTTCTAGGCCGCTGGGTTTGTGACTGCTGTCAACGAGCTCCCCCAACACCCAGGAAAGTGGGCAGAAGGGGGAAAAACAGCAAAGAGGGATAAACTCTAAATCCCCAACATTGTAATAAGCATTTAAGTGAAATATTTGGTGCCAATTTATTTACAACACTCATTTTTATGCCAATAAAACATGTTTTGAAATTAACTCTATGCTTAAAATCTGTTGATTTACCTTTGTTTTAGCTGTTCTTACCCTTAAAACTTAATTCCAGGTGGAAAAACAGCTCGTCACCTATTATTTTTCCCCCCTATAACTTCAGTTTTCAGTTGTCTGCAAAACCTCAGTGGGACAGTTTGCTTGCTGTATTGTTTCTGGCCTATCCTAAGTTAACAGACAAGGTCCTATTTAATAAGGTAATTTAGTTACTAGGTAGCCCAAGCCGATGCAATGACAGACGGCCTAAGGAAAGGCGGTGCTGCGGGTTTAGGGTTGCCGTGAGCTGACCGGCACTGGGACAACGTTCACTCCAGTCTACAGGAGACTCTGCCTTATCCACACCCAGCGAAGAACATGCAACTAGTGAATCTGCTTCCTCACAAGTCACACCTGGTGCCCAAAGCGTACACGTGACTTCGTTAGACATTTTTAAGTAGAAAAAGATAAAATGATCAGACTGATTTAACTGCACAGGTTGCTATTTTGATTTTGTCCACTCAAGGCCCTTTAAAAGATTGGCGGAAAATTCCACTGTCTTAATTCCAGTTTCACACTTTTTTGAAGCCAGCTCCTCCTACGCTAGTCACCTGATAAATACTCCAAACGGAGTATAAGCATTTACTGTACGCATTCTGTTGACAGGAACTTGATCTTGAAAGTCTTTGCTTCTCCTTTTGGGGTAATTGAGGTAAGAAGAGTACATATGGCTTCGCTTTCCTGTTCCCCAGCCAGAAAAAGCCACTGAATTTCAACCAGGGCAAAGCAGCCAGGACCCCGAGCAGCTCCGTGGGCCCACAGGTGCCCGGTGCTCAGAAGAGGATCTCCAGTACCAGCTTCAGAATACTAATCAGAACCGTCCACAGCAGCGACTCTTCCTCCTGGGGCGCGTCCTCGGGGTCGTAGGTGTGCTGGCCCGAGGCCACCCCATCGGCAGAGTAGCCGCCTTCGCCAAAGTGCTGCCACTCCACACTCCGGTCGTAGTACACCTTCATCTCGAACTCGCTCTCCAGGTGCGACGGATGCCCGTAGATGCCGATGCCCACGGGGCGCTGGAAGTGCGCAGGGACGGCCACCGCATCCTGGCCGCAGGTGGCCGACTGCAGCTCGTAGTCATCAAAGCTGGGGTGCAGGGTGGTGTCAGACACGTAGAGGTCGGCGTCGCCCCGTAGGCTGCGCATGCGAAGCACGATCTTGCCCTCGTGGTTCAGCCGCAGGTAGCTGTAGTTACCGGCACCGATGTGACCCTGCACCACATGCAGCAGCAACCACTCCTCCGGGACGTCATCGTCCTCCGCGCCCAGCGCCAGGGCGGCCAGGAGCAGCAGCAGCAGCAGCAGCGAGCGCCCCCAGCGCGCAGCCATGGTGGCTGCCGGCTGTCCTCAGGGGCCGGCTCCGGCCTGCTGGGAGAGGGCGGGAGGGGGAGTGAGAGGAGGAGGGGCGCCGGGGGCGTGGGAGCCGGCGGGGTGCAGAGGAGGGAGGGGACGTGAGAGGGGGGCGTGGAAGGAGGGACGTGCGGGAGGGAGCGAGAAGAGGCCGGTCCCCCGCCTTCGAGGACGATCCCACCCGAGTGCAGCCCCGGGGGTGGATTCAGTCGGGTAGCAGGGGGCTCGGGCGCTACGCTGCCCGCGCCGGACCCAGACTCACCGCCATATGCCCCACGGCCACAGAGCCACGGCTGGGGCATCCGGAGAGAGCCGCGGGGCAGCGGAAATGAGGCGGCCTCTGACTCTCGCGAGAAGCGGAAGTGGCGCTGCGCGGCAGTGGTGGAGTCAGCTTTCCTGCTCTCGCGAGATGCAGAAATGGTTGTGTGCACGAGACGGCGGTGGCGGCGGGACTCGTAACCCTGGAGACGCGGCGGTGGGGGCGGAGTCCGAAGGGAGCGCGTCTCTTTCGGATCAGTGTCTGCAGTTGAGGATAGGGGACCAGGCCAGGGCTGGATCAGGAGCTGGGTAGCAGGGTCCAAGTCGTGAGTCTATCTATTCCTTGTTGGAAGTTGAAGGTACAGCATCAAGTTTTCGGGTTAGGGGTCGGGAGTTAAGAGTCCGCTAGAGGGCTTCAGTTGGTGTCCTGCAGATGAGACACCGGCCCAGAGTCCTGTTTTCCAAACAGATAGCAATCCGGTGTGGACCGTCGTCGGAGAGTGGGCGCGCTCCTCCCGCCAGATGCTCTGATCCTGTCTTCACTACGACCCTATTCCCCCAAAGTCTGGTTCTTTGTACCACTGGCACCCCCATGACCCTAGTCCTTTGTAAGCCTGGGCCTCCATGCTCCTAGTAGTTCTCTGTATTCCTTGCACCCCCATACATGGCCCTCTTTGGAGCTGACTTCTTAGCGTGCTTCTGTCTTTTGCCTCCGTTATGACATTGAGTTTGCCACCCTGTGTAGCTTAATCTAAGAGTGCTTTACTGTTTCTTTTCACCAGTGGAATGCAATCAGGTCATCCAGATAGACACTCAGACTGCCCGGTTGGAGATTTCAACGTTTAAACAGAGTGTCCTCACTAAAACCAAAGACAGAGGACTTGCACAGGATGCTGCAAAGGCAGTGTTCCTCTTTAGCTTTCTTCTCTCCCACTGCAGCCCAGCATCCTCTGCTGGTCCCATAAGACTGGATGAAGCTAGCCCTCACTCAGCTTTGGAGACAGTTTCTGTGGAAGGGGCCCTTGTCCAGAGGAGAGAGTGTCTGCAGCAGATTGTAATTTTAGAATTTGCCTGATCTTGCTCTCTCCTGGGAGTGAGGACTTGTCTGAAAGGGCTCAGAAGAAAGAAAGACTAGGTGACTGGGGGGATGAGAACAAACAAAAGGAGGGAGTTGGCACTGACGTGGGCACTGGGGCAGTGGTTGTGCAAGACAGGAGACTGAGGGATGCAGCGGAGGATTGTGAAATCATCCTCTGGCTGAGTTGTTCCCTTCCCGCCTACAGAGCCAGAGTCTGATGTGCAGTCAGATTTGATGACTAGACCACTTTGTGTATTACTGCCAGATTCATAACTGATTCTAATAAATGACAGCTATAATCTTATCAACTGTTTTTATAGCCTTCCATACCTTTTATTTTTGAAAGATTCTCTGGGCAAATTATTGAATGATGCAGAAAGCATCAAGAGAAGATGGAAGGAATACACAAAGTCACTGTACCAAAAGGAAATGGTTAATGTTCAGCCGTTTCAAGAGGTAGCATATGATCAAGAGCCAATGATACTGA